AGATGGTTTTAAATAAAACAAAATAAATCTGTCTTTAAATGATCCAGCATGGTCGTTCCCACCACACATACCAGTGTTATCTCAAAATTTAGGGCCTGTGTGAACCCAGGTGCAAAAGAAAAACTGTTGGTCATCAAGAAGGAGAGGAGGAAAGACCTGGTGAGAAAGGAGATTGTAAAATCTTATCTGTGTTAAGACTGGAAATAAGGGTGAATGGTCTCAAATTGGTTTTTAGCTGGAGTCCGTAATGGGAAGTGACAGCATGTGTTTGTTAAAGGGTATAAAAAGTAACCTCTTAAAGCAGTGCTTCTTAACCTAGGGTGCATGCACCCCCTGGGGGTGCGAGATGCCCTTTCTGGGGGTGTGAGACATGCCAGATTTTTTAGAAGGTAAATCATCGAAAACACAAATTAAGCACAGGCACATAAGTACAACTACTTTGTTTAATCAAACCTTTATATTTATTAACATTGTACATTTTTAACGATTACTGCATTAAATTTTAACTTCAAAATTAAATATAATTCTCTCTCTTCTATAGTTATGATATATCTAGGTTTAAAGAACTGACCTACTTCAATGATTTTTTATAAGGGGTGCGAGAACATATTTTTGAGAATCAAAGGGGTGCAAGCTGCAGTAAAGGTTAAGAACCACTGTCTTAAAGGACTCATTGTTAATACCTGCTGCCTGACCATGCTGGAGCCAACCAATAAGGGTCTAAGCACCCCTGGGTTTATCCTGTTTGTAAGTTTCTTAATCAAATGCTTATAAATGTTTTGTAACTGTTTAGACATAGTAAATTGCTTATTATTTAGGCTTTTGGGGCATGTTTAGAGCAATTGTATAAGTACCATTTGGCCTTTAAATTTAATAAAGGAATGTATGGTTAAATTAGTGTTTGGTTTCCCATATTAATATGAATAGTTTCAAATAATTCCAATACCCTGTCAAAGAAGGAAATTAGATTGGTTTAACATTATTTGTTCTTGGCATTTGGCTATTACAACCTTATTATTCTCTAGATTTGAACATATTGATTAATAATTTGTTTCAGTATCTTTCTGGGGATCAAAATTATGCTGATTGGTTTATAATTTTGTACATCCTCCTCTTTCCCCTTTTTGAAGATAGACAAGGCCACATTGTTCTCGTTAGCAGAAAACATTTGATATATTAGCATTAGTATATTAACTCTTGCTGCTATATTTGCTCTCCTTACTCACCCTGCTGAAGTCAGTACTTCCATTCATGTTAGAAAGGCAAGCACAATTTGGCTCTTCGTGAATTATCACGAAAAAGGAGCTGAAGTTGAAAAAAATAATTTGACTTCACTGCACTCTGTGGTGATAAGAGTGAACTTCAAAGCAAAAGATTGTGTCTCTTTCTCATTCTTCATGATGTGTAAAGACTACCTCAAAAGTTTGGTTGGTTTTTTTTTTTTTAATAATTTCCCTTTTCTGACTGCTATGGTGATCAGCTGACACCCTAAAACTGTAAACATGGGATTTGATCATTTCTATCTTAGCATAAAAACTATAGATGACACTGTCAGAAAAATAATTGTACCATACCACAGTCCTTCTGTCACTACTCCAGATAGCCTTCATTCCTGACACCATCTACCAACCCTAATATTTTTTCTAATAATAGAAAGGAAACAAGGATTCATCAGTAACCTTAAGAATATCAGATGATATTACACTGTTGTAATTTGTCCTCCTATATACACTTGGCACCGCCCCTTGGTTTATAGTAATTTGTTGCTGTGTTTATATGGCACACTCCTTGGAGCAAAGATTCTGCAATCCCTTCTAGTTCTTGAAAAGACAAAAGTAACACAGATGTTTTAGAAACAATAGCCAGGAAAGGCCTGATTACAAATATGGGAACTCAAGTTGCTCTTTGAGCTGCTCAGGAAATAATGAGGTACGGAGAAAAATGTTCAATTACAGCTTTAATGCAAAAAGGCATTGTGGTAGGCTTGAGACAAGGTGCTATACCATCATGTTTCAGTCTTGGCTGTCGTATACGATTTTAATAAGTAAGTGTATATAGGACATAGTTACTTCCTCTATTTCATATAATTATATGATCCTTCTTCTTTTTATCATTAATAGACGAACCAGAATATAACTCTTTCCTGCATGGTAACAAGTGCCTGCTGAGAGGTATAATGAGTGCCCTCATTCTCATTGGCTAAGTGGAAACTGAAAGCACTTAGCATTACATAAGAGGCACTCACACCTCTAATGATTGCCTTTAATGTATAATATAAACTGGTAAACAATGTGCTGGGTGAAAAAATTGAAGAGAAAGATAAAACAAATCTAGCAAAACTAGCTAGCAAAGTAAAATACCTGTTTCTGGAGCAGCTACTCTTGGCTAAGTAGCAATATACAGTTAAATTGTGGCTTTGCCACAAGCCCTGAAGAAGGGCCAGCATGTAGTTGCACTGATGCAGGAGCAGATCACAGACCATGAGATGATTCTTGCTGGCCCCTACTCTTCAGCTATTTCTGTGGAAGATGGTGAAATGGCTCCACAGAGGCTGCTCTCCCTCCCTTACTGTTACTAGTAATATGAGTAGCTCCTGTGTGGGAATGAGGGAGGCCTAGATCCATAATGGGCCTTACGTGCCTCAGTTCATGATTTAGGCCCCTAAGAGCCACTGAGATCCACAAGACTCCTGCTTGGTTGCCACCTAACCCCGTATGTGTCTAAACTCATCCAGTACCTAGATTTCCAGGATAAAAATTCCTTAAGTACCTACATTTCTGTCCTGTTGCCTGGCTCCTGCCTAAATTCCAGTGCAATTCAAAAACTGGGGAAAGAAAGGTGGGCAAATATGTATTTTACCTGTGGGGCCCATTACCAAATTGGGCCACATTCAGAATCTGGCCAGAGGAGGAGATGGCAGTGCCTCCCTTATCATTCTTAACACAGTGCTTAGAGCACTCACCTGGGACGTGGGAGACCCAGATTCAGTTCAGTCTTCTGCCTGAAGGGGGAAAAGGATCAAACATATCTCAGGAGAGTGCTCTAACCACTGAGCTATAGGACAGGGGTGGGCAAACTTTTTGGCCCAAGGGCCACATCTGGGTGGAGCAATTGTATGCAGGCCCATGAATGTAGGGCTGGGGCAGGAGGTTGGGGTGTGGGAGGGAGTGCGGGGTGTGGGAGCGGTTGCGGTGTGCAGGAATGGGCTCAGGGTGAGGGGTGCGGAAGGGGGCTCAGGGCAGGGGGCTTGGGTGCAGGAGGGGGTGAGGAGTGCGGGAGGGGGCTCAGGGCATGGGGCTGGGGTGTGGGGTGCAGGAGGGGGTTGGGGTGCGGGCTCCAGCCAGGCACCGCTTACTTTGCGTGTCTTTGCAAAAATCATAGAAGCAATATTAAACACATTATAAATTATATTTTGTACTATAAACAGCAAAATACAGTTCAAAATCTTGTATTTAATGATAGGGGAAGGAGGAAACATTGAATAGGCTTTATAATAGAGCTTTTAAAATGAATGAGGAATTTTCAGTGTAATCAAGTGACCCTATTTCAGCTATTTAACATTAGGATAATGAAGACGGAACTGTATTATTTTTCTGCCAATCTGTTATCAAACTTCTATTTGCTGGAATTTCTACTAGTAAAAATGCTTTGCTATTTATAGGTAAATCTATCCATCTATCTAGCTAGCTATATAATATTCTCCTACCAATCCCGTTATATATATATATTTGTATTTTTGTATCATGTTTGTATAATTTACAGTTAATTAACAATAAAAGCCAGATCTAATTTCCAAATTTGAAGACAGAGTCAGAAAAATCAGACTGGTGTCTTTAAAATTATGACTGGTATAGAGAAAGTAGATAAGGAAGTGTTGTTGTTTACTACTTCTGATAACACAAGAACTAGGGGTCACCAAATGAAATTAATAGGCAGCGGGTTTAAAACAAAAGAATTTTTTTTTCCACACAACGCACAGTCAACCTGTGGAACTCCTTGCCAGAGGATGTTGTGAAGGCCAAGTCCATAACAGAGTTCATAAAAGAACTAGATAAATTCATGGAGGAGATGTCCATCAATGGCTATTAGCCAGGATGGGCAGGAATGGTGTCCCTACCCTGTTTGCCAGAAGCTGGGAATTAGCAACAGGGGATGGATCATTTGATTACCTGTTCTGTTCCTTCCCTCTGGGGCACCTGGCACTGGCCACTGTTGGAAGACAAGATACTGGGCTAGATGGACCTTGGTCTGACCCAGTATGGCCACTCTTATGTTCTTAAGAAAAAAATAGACTTAATATTTATATCTGAAAATCTCAAACTACTTTACAAACATTGATGAATTGCTCCAATGAGAACAGTCCCCATGTAACATGTCCCATCTGTGTTCTCCCTCAGTACCCCATCAGCACCAGCGGTACAGCTCTTGGCCCTGTCATGCTGCCACTGGCAGGCACTCTGCTGGCTCCAATCTGCTTCCCCCTTCTGCAGCCAGTTAAAATCATGCAAGGGTAGTTACTCTGCCAAAGCCAAAACTTATACTGATCTGAGAAGGGAACGGTCCACATGCAGAAACTATTCCCCAGACACGTATGGGGATCTAGCTAGTCACTTCCCCACATTTCAGCTGTTCTGCAAAGGAGCTGTGCTTGTAGAGATTGAAGCAAAGCAGTTGCTTTTGCTCCTTTCTACACTTTGTCCGCCACCCTCCATTTCAGACTGAAATTGATTGCCTGCTATACTTCAGAACCAAAATCATTCCCTCAAAGATTCCAAGCTCCTGTCTAGAATATTCTCCTACCAATCCCGTTTATGAAGGGGTGGGACTTCTTCTCTGGTTCTCTTCTGACCTCTGTTACAATTTTATGAGCTCCCATAACAAACAGAACTTTTAATTAACTAAACAGAAGTATTAAAGAAACTCTAACAACCATTTTAAGGTAGCTGTGCTATTTACATATTTTTCTGAGTGTTGTGCATAATTTAAAAAAATCAGTTAAGTTCCATCCTGAATCTTTATTGCTGTAATCTTGTGTAAATATAAAATGTGAAAAAAGCTAAATTACATAACAGATGTATCCCAGTTAATGCTGGATCATGATTAGGTTGTACTGTATGCCTCCAGCACTGACTAATAATCCTTATAGTTTATCGTATAAGTATTCAAGGTTTATTCATAACGGGTCAAATACTGAAGTCCTTACTCAGTATTAACTCTGGCAGACTTTACATTGCAGTCAATGAGCCAAATTCTGCTCTCAATCGTATCAATTTCTGAAGACTGGAGTTACTCCGGATTCGCATCAGTTTAGCAGGTAGCACAATTGAGCCCAACAGGAATTTTAATGCCTAATAAATACTGAGAAAAGACTTCAGGATTTTTCTCCATGTCACTGTTTGTCCAATAAAATAAAATATCAGAGTATCAAGTGAGCCAAATACTGCCCTGTTAGTCCATCTTCAATGAAAAACAGAAAGCACTCATGTGAATTTAAAATTTCATTTAATAAAGCAAATAGGCTAAAACACCATTCTGAATATTTCTCTTTCTCAAGGACAAATTTACAAAATGGTCAGTTTCAGAGGAGTCTGAAGTTCCACTGCCAAATCAGGAAAATATCTCTTCTCAAATAAACCTTATTTTCTGTTCCACAGATGATCAAAACTGAAGAGATGTTACAAAACCTTTTAGTGTGTATTTTAAAATATATATATATATATATATACTATTCCCTTCAGTAGCCATGCTAGTATTGGCTCTGGACAATTCAAGAAGGCACAACTATATAGGGAGGCAGCAGTCAGTAGTTAGGGCACTGGACTGCATGGGGACTCAGGAGACCATTCTAGTACAGACTTGTTATGTGACCTTGAGCATGTCCCTTCCCATTCTCTGTCTGTCTTAGCTATTCAGAATGCAAGCTCGTTGGTGTGGGGACTGTCTCTTACTATGTGTATGTACAATGCTAGCACAAAGGGGTCCTAGTCTTAGGACCTCGAGACACTATTGCAATATAAATAATTAATAATAACATAAGTATAAATGGAGTTGGGCTGGTGGTGAATTTGCCCTTTTGATTCTTTTAAAATTGTTGTTATAATATGAGATAGCTGAGTTGAGCCCTGTTTTAAAACCAAAATACCAAGGCAATGTTCAAATCAAACTTGCAATTTTTCATTAGAATCAAGGAAGTTGCTTGATAAATTTAGCTCTCTGGAGAATTTTAAGGGCCTGTATTTGAAAACAGCATAAATATTAGCTAGACAGTGATTAATACGAGTTTTCTATAGTCGTGCCATTCTTCTGTTTATGTTAATGGTTTTGATGGAGGGTGCTGTAGATCATAGGAAATACTACTTAGGGTGTTGGAAAGTCAAAATCACTAGCTGTGACATGAATAATGAGATTGATTTGGATTGGTGGATGAATATAATCAAAGCTCCTTCATAATAATGTTGATGTCATATTACATAGTAAAGGATGACACATTGTCACTCATAATTTCACTTGTCTGCCTTGAGTGATAGGTATCAGAACTTATCCTTGAACTCTTGGTCTTGTATTTCTTGTATCTCGGGCACCACAGATCCTTCATCATATTCACAAAGTAACTTCTAAATTTCACCCCAATAAAAGCGTAGAGCACTGGGTTCAAACAACAATGGAAGAAGGCCAGGGCTTCTGTAATGTACTTCGCAAAGGCTATTTGCTTTTCACTATCACACGGTTTATTCAATTTACCCAGATTTATGGCAGTCACAAGAAGAACCATGTTATATGGTACTTGACAAACCAGGAAAACAATCACAATTAATACAATCAGACATATTGCTTTGTTTCTTTTGGAATTCTGAGCTTTCACCAAGGTTTTGACAATGAATGCATAGCAAAATACCATAAACAGCAGAGGGATAAAAAATCCAAATAGAAGTTGCATACCCAGCAGCAATAATTTCAACGTAGCGCCTTTTGTGAACACAGATCCAATACTGAGACAAATCTCCTTTGTTTCATTGACGGAGTGGCTGTAGCTTTGACTGAATATGAAAGTGGAACTGGAAATTAAAATTGACAATACCCATACAACCAAACAGATCAGTCTACTGTATGCTAGCGTTCTAGCCCGAAGTTTAAATGACTTTGTTGCCTGTACAATAGCAATGTATTGGTCCATACTGATAAAGGCCAAGAGCAGCATACCACAATTGAAGTTGATTGCATAAATACCTCTGGTAATTTTGCATATGAAGTCACCAAAGATCCATTTTTCAGCAGCATAATTCACTGCCCAGAATGGAAGAGTGAGAACAAGCAATATGTCTGCTATGGCCATGTTGAAGAGAGATATAACTGTCATAGACTTGGGTTTTTTATATAAAGCAAAGGTCATTACTACAAAGATGTTACCCACTAAGCCCAAGACACATATAATTGAGTATGCAATTGGCAAAAATACTTTTGTGAAGTTTCTGACTTCCCTCTTGTCACATGGTGATGTAATTTTGTCATAATCAAATGTATAGTCTGGATATTCTGTGTAGTTGGGTTCTACCTGCAAAAACAATACAGCCAGTTAGTGTAAACATTAGTGCTCATTTCTGCAAGTTCTCTCTATTGCGTAAACAATGGAGAATTGATGGTATGAGACATAAAGGATCAAATTCTGCTTTTAGATACATCCTGGTGTCTCAATAAAAGTAATGGAAATATTTGGCCCCAACAGTGTTTGAAAGTTAAGCATACAAATACTACTCCCAGTCACTTTTCTTTCAAATCAGCCTTTTCCTCATCATCTTGACTAGCAAAATCCTTATGCACTCCAATGATATGCTGTCAAAACTCAAACAAAGGGCTCCCTCAGAAATGTTCTTCTTCAGTTGGTGATACACACAACGTTCTCTAAATAAAATTCCCTCTCCCCCACTGCGTACTTGCACAGAGCACAGCTCAGACAATCCAGATCTTTATTGTCTCCTCCATCATTAGTTCTTTCCCACAACTGTGAAAATACTCTGTTTTAACAGAAGAAGAATTTTCTCAAAATGACAGATGTGTTTGAAGGAGTCTGGAGAACAGCTGAAAAATAACTCAGAGACTTTAAGGTCAGAAAGGACCCTCATGATCATCTAGTCTGACCTCCTGCACATTGCAGGCCACGGAACCTCACCCACCCACTCCTGTGATAGACCCCCTAACTGCTGGCTGAGTTACTGAAGTCCTCAAAACATGGTTTAAAGACTTCAAGTTACAAAGAATCCACTATTTACATAACACGGTCCCTAATCTTGAACGTTGTTTTCCCATATTTACAAGTCTTTCTTCTAGCATAGTGTATTTGTTGTTTTTCTTGCGCTTTAGCAATGTTACTAAGAGCCAATGAAAGATCAGCATTCTTTCTAGCATTCAAATTAGTGCTGTACTCCTTGTAGTATTGTTCATTGAGTTCCTGGAAATATAGTCGCTAATGAGCATAATAAAATCATAACTGAACTATAGGTGGGGGAGATAATCATCTGGAATAGTCCACAGAACTCCGTACGAAAACGTCAGCAGGATATCCAGTGACAACACAGTCTATGAAACATCACATCATCACAAACAACTCCAATACTTCTGTTAGTCTTAAAAGTGCCACAGGACCCTCTGTAACTTTCATTAGCCAATCACTCCCAAGGTCATGACAATTTGTCCAGCACTTTATAGAACTGCCACTTCCAAATCAGCTGTTTCATTAGTCTGTTAATACACTTCACCAATACACTGCTTACCCCATCCATTTTGGTGATGTGCTTCTTCTGATGAGAAAAGAATTGGTGAAGACAGTTCTGGTATCCTCGGAGTCCTTGTGCAGGAGGCAAGTGGATTGGATCAGGAGAGCAAAACAGGAAGTGTCAAGAGATCAAAACAAGAAATATGCAGCAACAGAGAAAACTAAGACTAACAAAATTCATCAAAATATATTGTTTTCACTGAGATGTTCTGGTTTTGATCAAGTCTTAATTGAAAAGGTAGGATTTTTTTAAGGCAGGGGAAAGTGAGTCTTATACAGTATTCTAGAGCCTGTTGGTTAGGGCCTTGGCCTATGATGTAGGAGACTCAGGTTCAAGTTCCTGCTCTGCCAGATTCAGAGTGATCTGGGATAAAAAACTCTGCTGGGGAGCAGGGACTTGAAACAGGGGTCTCCCCCACCACAGGCCAGTGCCCTACCCATGCACTCTCCCTTGATGTTTGTGAAAATGTTTGAAAGGTTTTGCTTTCATGCCAAATGCAGAACAAAAACTAATTTCAACATCTCAGCAAGTTTCAGTGAAACAGAATTGTTCTCTGGTCAACTGTAGTTGAAGGGGATAGTACTGTTGAACTGAAATTGAGTGTGTTTGTGTTGGTGAGGCAGAGAGTAGTGGACTAACACTTGGGAGACTCGTATTAGTTGTGTGAATTCTGCCTTAACTTATGATTTCTTTGCTTTTCAGTATTTGCATTGTTGTGAGGAAACACACAGTCAACCTTAACTCTAATTTAACAAACTTTTTTGTTTAGGAATTATTTGGATTTAAAAAAATGCATGTGGAGCTGTGGAGACTGCAGACTCATTTGTGAAGTGGCTGGAGAGAGAGGCTCTCTGTGAGTGGGACTGAGGAGATGGTCTTCTCTGTTCAGACTTGGCATGCCCATTAGAGAAAGCTTTAACCAGTGCTCCAACTTCCTTTGCCTGCTGCTCAAAGTTTTAGTTGTGAAGTTGCAGGAGCCTGGAAGCCTGAAGAGGTTTGAGCACCTGGTGGAGGAAGCTTGAATACTATTTAAAGCTCTTTCTTGAGAGTATAAAGTTTCAAACCAAGCAGATGTGATTGTTTAACAGGCTCCATTGTTTCCCCAGCTCTGCTTCCTGGCCAGCTCCACTCTCAAGACCCTCGGACGGTATCTATCTGCTCCTTTAAGTCTTGAGTAGGCAGTTTCTGTCTCCATCCAGCCATTGTCATTTGGGCACTGTCCAATCTCCATTGTCCCAGCTGATTTTCTTGTTTGCTGTAAGTATTAGCACTCACATGCAGGACAGCTGCTCCTTCCTATGGCTTTACCAAGATGCAGGAGACAGGCTGTACCTGAGTCCTTGCTTATAGTTCAGCCAATGAAGCCCTGAATTAAATAGCTGTAAGACAGAGCTATCTCTGTCAGTTTCTCCCTAGGCGATTTACCTTGCAATTATATATTAAAAACCACACACTCTGTCACAATTAATCAGTGTGAAATCAATTATTTGCCACAATAGTTGTTGTAAAATGCATTTAACAACAAATAAGTTGAAAAATTGCATGCAATGTAAATAGAAATAGTTATGGCTCAAAGTATTAACAGACCATACACCTCAATTAAAAAAAATAACCCATGCCTTAGATTTTGAAATAATCTACAAGTGAGTCTGTTCTCAAACTCCAGGGACCCTAAAATTAGGTTCAGCCTCCCCCCCCAAGCAAAAAATCAGAAGTGGCGATTGTTACGGAATCACCGGGTGATGCTCTGGAACTACTCCATATGAAGCCAGTCAGGACTCTGGGGGAGCATACCTCCTCTCTCTGAGCATACTGTCTCCAGGGCAAGAAGCTTACACAGCTTCGACCTTCCTGAGTCTGACCTCGGAGCATTCAGCATTTCCTTTTCATACCATCCGCCTCCTGCAGTTAGGGTGATCAGATGTCCCGATTTTATAGGGAAAGTCCCGATTTTGGGGTCTTTTTCTTATATAGGCTCCTATTACCCCTCACCCCCATCCAGATTTTTCATATTTGCTGTCTGGTCACCCTACCTGCAGTGAGTCTGCACAGGCGGGGCTCCTGGGGAAGCCGGAGGGCCCTGCACCCCAATTCCGCAGTCAGACGTGACTCTCAGACAGCTGGTAAAACAGAAGGTTTATTAGTCGACAGGAACGCAGATTAGAACAGAGCTTGCTATTACAGACATCAGTGACTTTCAGCCAAGTCCATCTTGGGAATCCTGGGCCAGAAGCCCTGGATTCCCCCTCTTCCAGTCCCCCCCAAGCAGACTGCCCGCTTCCAGCTACCCGACCTCCAACACCCTCCTTGATACTCCTCCTCCTTCTCTTTGTCTTGCTTCCCCTTCCTGGGCAAAAGGTGTCATCTGGTCGTTCCTGCATCTCAGGTTACATAGGTGCAAACAGCAGGGCAGCCTCACCTGCCCTGAGGGCCTCAGCAAAAATCACACACCCAATTCCTACCACCTAAGTATTGGTGCAGTACACAGGGAAACTAAGGTACACACAGTATTAATATAGGAAAGTAAGACTCACATGCAACGTAACAAGATTAATAAATCCCCACTTTGTCACAGCGATATAAAAAAGTTTATAACTCAAATGAATTAACAGATTTACTTGAAAAACTCTCACAAATTATAAAAAGTAAATTGTGTCAGTTTGGTGAGGATACAGAATTTAAACCCCATTTTAAATAGGGTGAATAATGACTGCAGTATTTAACCCTGAGTCCAAAGATTTGCCACACTTCATGCTGACTGCATTAGGACTGCACCCAGCCCTGTGTTCTGAGGCGTCGGTGAACACCATAAAGGACTTGTCAAAGTCCGGGTTTACCAGCACTGAGCCCTTGACCAGGGTATCCTTCAGAGCACAGAGAGCCCTCTGGCACTGTTCAGTCCAGACCACCTTATCTGGCTTACCCTTCTTACATAGCTCAGTGATGGGGGCGGCTATCAGGGCCGGCTCTGGGTTTTTTGCCGCCCCAGGCAAAAAAGCCTCCGGCCGCCCGCCTCCCCCCCCCCCCCACGAGCGCCGGGGGGGAGGGCGGCGAGCCCCGGCCGTGGCCCTGCTCTCCCCGGCAGCTGGAGCACCGCGCCGCCCCACTCCAGGTGCTGCCCCAAGCACAAGCTTGGTGGACTGGTGCCTGGAGCCGGCCCTGGCAGCTATGGAGCTAAAGTGGGGCACGAACCTCTGATAGTAGCCCACCATCCCAATGAAAGCCTGGACCTGCTTCTTAGTCTGGGGAGCGGGCCAATCTCTGATCACCTCCACCTTGGCTGGCGCTGGCTTTACGCAGCCGACCCCCACTTTCTGGCCCAGGTATGACACTTCTGACATACCCACTTTGCACTTGCCAGCTTTTATCAGACCTGCGTCCCAGAGCTGGTCCAGCACTTGTTTAACCTGGGACTCATGGTCCTCCCAGGTCTGGCTAAAAACACAGATCATATCAATATACACCAGGGCAAAATTCCCCTTGAGTAACTGGTCCACCAGATGCTGGAAGGTGGTAGGTGCCCCTTTTAAGCCAAAAGGTAGGACCCAGGAACTCGTATAACCCCAGGAGGGGGATAAAAGCAGACTTCAGCCAGGCATCCAGATCCAAAGGTACTTGCAAGTAGCCCTTTGTGAGATCCATAGTAGTGAGATAACAAGCTCCCCCAACCCCCCTCAGCTTGTCTAGAAGCTCATCAGTCCTAGGCATGGTGTAGGCATCGAACTTGGTGATGGCATTAAGCCTCTGGTAATCCACACAAAACCGGATTGACCCATCCTTCTCAGGGACCAACACCACGGGAGAAGCCCCAGGGCTGGAGGGCAGCTGGATCACTCCAAAAGCCAGCATGTCCTTGACCTCTCTCTCCAAGTTCTGGGCTGTTTTTCCAGTGACCCAGAACAGGGAGCATCTTACAGGACGGTGGGCTCTTGTCTCCACCTGGTGGACAGCCAGGTTAGTGAGCCCAGGCCGGTTGGAGAACAGCTGCTGGTAGGAACTCAGCACCTCTCGGATCTCTGCCTGCTTGGCAGGGGTTAGCTTGTCAGAGAGGGGAATTGATTCCAGCGAAGGGCCAGCCCCTGTCTTAGGGAATAGATCCACTGGGGATCATCTCCCTGCTCCTCCCACTGGCCACACACAGTCAGTACCAAATTCTCCCTGTCAAAGTACGGCAGGGAGAATGTCATCATGTTGACATGGTACACGCGGTGGCTGTGAGCCCGGTTAGACAGTTCCACTAAATAGTTTACCTCATTCAGCTGCTTGATGACCTTAAAGGGCCCAGTCCAGGCAGCTTGTAGTTTGTTCTTTCTCACGGGAATGAGAACCATCACCAGGTTCCCAGTGGCATAGGAGTGGGCACACGCTGAATGGTCGTACTAGACCTTCTGCTTCCCTTGGGCCCTGGCTAGATTATCCCCGACCAAGTCCATGAACTCAGCGAGCTTTTTCCAGAAAGTCAGTACATACTCCACCACTGATTCTCCATCGGGGGAGGCCTTCCCCTCCCATTTGTCCCTCATCAAGTCCAGGGGTCCCCTCACTCTCCTCCCATACAGCAAATCAAAAGGAGAGAACCTGGTTGATTCCTGGGGCACTTCCCAGTATGAGAACAGCAGGTGGGGTAAATACTTGTCCCAGTCCTGTGGATGCTGGTTCATGCTTGTTTTCAGCATCATCTTTAGGGTCTCACTGAACTTCTCCACCAGCCCGTTGGACTGAGGGTGATACACTAAGGCCCAGGTGTGTTGGACCCCACACTTCTCCCACAACCATCGGAGCAGAGTTGACATGAAATTGGAGCCCTGGTCTGTAAGGACCTCGTTGGGGAACCCCACTCTGCTGAAAATGCTCAGCAGTGCATCTACCACAGTTTTGTCTGCCTCAATAGAGGACAAAGCCACCGCCTCGGGATAACGAGTAGCAAAATCTACCACCACCAGAATGTATTTTTTCCCTGTCTGAGTTGCCTTGCTGAGGGGTCCCACAATGTCCACAGCCACCTTCTGGAAAGGCTCCTCTATGACAGGCAGGGGCCTCAGAGATGCTTTTCCCTTGTCCTGGGCCTTCCCCACCCTCTGGCAGAGGTTGCAGGACCTGCAGTATTGCTGGATGGCATTAAAGACCTCGGGCTAATAAAAGTTCCCTAGCAGCCTCTGCCTGGTGCGCTGGATTCCCGGGTATCCCGAGAGAGGGACATCATGGGCCAGGTACAGTAGCCTGCAGCAGTACTTCTGGTGGACCAGTAGCTGCCTCCTGATCCCCCACAGTTCCACTTCCCCTTGGGGAGCCCATTCCCAATTGAGGAATCCCTTCTCCCATAGGAATCTTTCCCGGCAGCCTTCCCCCAGGGGTTTCGCTGTGCTGTGACCAGCAAGTTCCCTCAGCTTCTCTAAGGAGGGATCCTTCTGCAGCTTGGCCTGGAATTCAGCATCTGGGGAAGGGATGGGGACCTGCTCCCTCTCAGTGGTTGGGTCCAATGCCGCAGCCCCGCCAAGACCTGTCCCCAGTGACTCCTTTCCCGCTGGGGTAGGAACCTGCATCCCCGGCAGGGCACCACCCCTGGTGTTAAGGCAGAGTGCCCTTCGCTGGCTCTGGCTATGGGTGATGATTAGGGTGACGATCCACCAGGTCACCCCCATCAGCGCCTTGGTTGGCAACTGATGGTGCACCCCCACATCTTTGGGCCCCTTCTTGGTCCCCCATTTCAGATGTACCCTCACCACGGGTACCTTAAACAGGGGTCCGCACACACCCGTCAGGGTCAGGTAGGTGTTGAGCACCACCTTGGGCCGGGCCACCTTAGCGCCTGGGTCCCAGTACCCAGTGACCAGCTTCCCCATCGACCTCCAGGGGAATGAGGCACTCGCTCCTCAGGGGCCGCCCCACAGCCACCCTGCAGACTGAGAACAATGAATCCAGAGCATCAAGTCTCCCTGAGGAGCTGACCTGGGAGACTCCTCCCTCTTGGGCCATTGCTAAACTGCCAGCCCCTCCTGCCTGGGGAGCCAGCCCCTTCTCCAGCTGGGCTCCCACCCAGTTAACCCTTTGAGGGCTTGGTTTGCTCATCCTGTCCCTGAGCTTTTGGCACCAGGCCCATCTGTGGCCCCTCTCCCCACAGTAATTACACCTCAGGTCCCGTTGGTCTTCTGGGGCTGGTTGGTCACCTTGGGTACTGGCTGTGCCCCGGCACTGGGAGGGATTTATCAGAGACTCCCTTCAGGGAAGCCCCTGGGTGACCTCCCTTCTGCATTGATGAGGGCCTGTTCCCCTGGGATTCCATTCTATATTCCGACCTGCTGTCTACAAACTCATCAGCCTGCAGCCCTACGTAGTGCAGGTCCTTTGGTCTCTTGTCCACCAGCCACATCCTCTGGTCAGGGGGACAGAGTTCATATAGTCGCAGGTGTATTCCCCCATCAGCATGACCAGTTCCAGATAGGTCATCCCCTGGGTCTTCTGCACACCCCGGAACCTTTTCCTCTACGCCTCAGGGATCAGCTCAAACTTGCACAGCAGTGCTTGTTTGAACAGTCCATAGTCCCCTGCTTCCACCTTATCCATCTGGCTGAACATCTCTATGGTTTTAGGACCTAGTAAGGAGGTGAGATGCCAAAGCCTGTCTGCAGGGACAACCTGGTGCACATTGCAGGCCTTCTGAAAGGCAGTGAGGAAGGCATCTATATTATCCCCTTCCTTAAACTGAGGCAGCACTTTTTTATCGGAGTTCCCTGCGAGCTTAGCCACCCTGGGCCCATCCCCACGCACCACAGTAGGGGTCTCTCTGCTTCTCAGCTCCGCCATCGCCAGTTCATGCTGCCTCTGTCTCTCATGGCCCTGCCGTTCCTTCTCACAGCCCTCCAGCTCTTTCAGTTTCAGATCCATTTCCAACTCCAACCATCTCAGCTCCACCAACGGGGAACTTGGCCGTGAAGATCCCATGCGGTCAGGTAGGTGGATCCTGGGGCTGCCTGGCTGCTTTCAGGCCTCCCATGTTCCTGGTTGGGTCAGTGGCTGGGATGACCCCTGGAGCTGCCTGGCTGCTCTCAGCCTCTCTCGCAGCCCCAGCTGGGTCAGGAACTGGCTCCGACACCACGGTAAGGAACATCGCAGCGAACGCTCTGCGTGATGCGACAGAGAAGCAGATCAGCAGAGCCCCCTCCAACCAAGACATCGCCACCTTCCTGAGCGGCTCCCTGGATGGGGAATTCGGACGGGACGGGCGCGACATCGCTTCACTGTGGTCCCGCACTCGCAACGCCACGCGTCGCCTAGGGAAGTGCATCAGTTGCTGCTGGGAGTGGTGCGAGG